TTGCCAGTCAGATTGGCGGAAACCGTCTTCTGAATTACGTAAATTTGGAAACATTACGTAAGTTGTCCTTTTGGGGTATTCCCGCTAAACTGGTGACTGCAGCTTGCAAAATTGTTCTCGTAAACAAGATTCGCAACCTCGATTTTCACGTGAAACAATTAATCTTTTGTTTTACTGTCACACAGCGGGCAATACAGCTCAAATTTAGTGGTTAATTTGGGCTAGTTCATCCTTTCTTTTCAAAACATTTTGGTACCTTTTCCTTCAATTCTATCACTTTACAACGTTCAATAACGCTGTTTGTGTTTCAGTAAACGTAAGACTCGGATAAGACATTGAAAAGCTCAAAATCACCTTTGCGTGTCTTTGGCGTCGAGGTACGAAGTGCACATATCAAGTTTGCAGAACTAGTGCTTACCGAAGCAAATTTCTCGGATAAAATAAACCGACCGTAACGTTTCTAAATTTTGGACGGAAATCACGACGGAAAACATCACGGTCATCATCTTAAAAGCAGCAAATCGTTAAATTGGGGAACGATCTTGAATAGTCGAGGATATGTAAAGCTCGATTAACTATGATAAAATTCATTATTGTGGAAAACATTTGCATGGCGGTACGCATTTCTTGCATGTCGTGTCATACATAGAAAAGCTATTATATGTACGGACCCTTCTCCTAGATGTAGTATTTTACTTTCTTTTAATCTGAGTTATTTGGGTTATTTGTCAAAGCTCAAAGCCATTTAAGTAAGACCATTTACAATCACTCACGACAGATACAAAGCAAATACGTCTGTATCAAAGTTCATCAAAGCGACTGCCATGTATTTGACTGGCACAACATACCAACTTCATCTTGTCATGTGACATAAGCACAACACAGGGTCACACTGGATTCTCCTTATGGGGTCTATATGGGGCCATGAAGACAGTCAGATTGATGTAAGGTTCTTCGCTGTTCATAGACTCAGGACTTTACCATGGGGCCATGAAGACAGTCAGATTGATGTAAGGTTCTTCGCTGTTCATAGACTCAGGACTTTACCTGATGCAAAGTATCATATTTAGCACTCGATAGGCTTAAAAAAATTCACAAATTGGCTATTGAGGTAACCACGCGGTATTAGCCACTCCTTTCTCCTTCGTTGAGAAAACAGATATCACTTATTATGGTCAACTAAGTTCTCTCACCTTGTGTTAATTGTTATGGCCCGCCTTTACTGAAATATATTTGCCAGGATATGACTTGAAACTGAACTCGTGATGGGATACCATAGGAGGAATTATGACGTCACACGCATCGTGTGTTGTGACATACCGCTGACACTGCACTGTGTGAAGACGAAGGCAATCGGGAATTCTCTGCCCAACTGATGCATCCATTAATTCGATACCAAGACTACCTGACAGACGAGCTGGAGGGCTTACAGAGGCGCGCTATAAGAATTACGCCTGGTCTACACAAGCAATTTCATGTGACAATTCTGATTTGCTCGTGTAGTCGCGAAGAAAATTGATAAAGCTGGCGTGTTAGCTTCAGTAGGCGACAAATAAAAGTTGTCACATACGAAATATTGCTCGTAAAGACGACTCGTTCCATAAAATGTGGCAAATACGTTCGTAAGCGCCAAATTTTTCGGGGGCGATTAAGCAGCCCTGCCTTGTTTCTGCGTGTCTCTGTTGTCGAAAGTCACTACTCAAGCACTTGAACTGTTGACAAATATTTGCTGTGCCATCTGCATGATCAAATGCGTTTGTCACGTAAATGTTGTCTCGTGCAGAGCCAACCACGTTCCCAGGTCTTTTCCTTTAGGCTTTATCTTCTCTTTTGGTAGTAGACAGTCCCAAACAGTCAAAATGATGTTTGCTGGACATCAGTAATAATCCTGAGCACAAATTAAACAAATTTTACCAGAGTCAAACAAATGTAGTTTCAATCTGAGAAATAGTCGAAGACATCACGTTCTTATTTGCAAAACGAACAGATTTAAGAATAGCTTTTTCTACAGAAATTATATATAGACGATTTTTATCCGTGTTTTTCATGGATCACATTTTAGCATTCAATTGCAAAGTTTTATCTTATTCAACTCTCGAGGTAAGATTTTAAAGCTCAATAAACTATCTGCCTATCTTGTTTGAACAGTTAGACTTTCGGGGATAAGTGAAGAAATGGCAGTACCATAGTAGTGATAATAACACACACTGAGAAAAAAAAAAACCGAAACAAAAACATGCATAACCTGTCACCGGCTGACTTTGTAACATCCCTAAAAGCGAAAATGAAAGATGAATATAAATCAGAGGTTTAGCACACTTTAAAAACTTACTATGATATAGTAATTTTTTCATGATATAGTATGTATGCGGGACCGATTTCTTTTCCAACGCTCACTCACCCTGTTTGCTATGACAACACTAAATGTGTAAAATGTTTAGAAGAGAAGGCTTAACGCTTGACTTTGAAACAAGTATAAAAACGTTAGATTATACGGTTTTATGAAGAGGCTTCTTACTGCCATAAGAAGATGTTGCTTTTACACGTTTTAGGGTGAGAGCATCAGTATTGCCTACTTTCTCCTGATAGCCACCCACTTCAAATAAATAGATAACTTAGTCTGCAGTCCGTTTCCACACGTATTACCTGTTGAATGTCAATTGACCTGTTGGACTTTACAGGTCATTCTCTCTATGAAGGGCAACGTAAGACTCTCCCAGTGTTGTTATCATTTTGAAAACTTTTACTAAGACGTTTCAGGACCAGAACGTCCATCACAGTTATCCTCAAGTCCAACCCAATGTTCATCACGTATGTTTCCTAGATACTTATTTACAGAAATGTCCAATTTTGTTCAGTATCTTTTTTTTTTTTTTAAGTTGAAAGCCTTTTCAGAGCCTAATGGCTCATTAGGTCTGAGTTTTTGTCCGGCTTCTTAAGACGCTTCTGGGAGAATTTAAATTTACTTCAACATCACATAGGTACTCATTTATATTTCTCAGTGTAGAGAGAGGCTTTGTACGTTTCCCAAGAAAACAACATAACAACCTCGGTGAGGGTTCGAACCCAGGCAACTCGATCCGGTGTATATATAATTTTGCTGGTTGATTGTAAATGTTTTTAAATTTTATAATGGTATTTTAGGCTTTTAATCTGTATAACTTTTAGATACAGGGCCCCTATGGAGACCAGCCTTGCAGCTGAATGGGCTACCCTATTTAAACAAAGTTCACTCTACTCTCCTCCAGCACACTAACCACTAAGCCACCACGGCCGACAAATAGTTTAATTTCTAAAGATGTAATTAAATTAAAAATTGACAGTTTTCTTTATAGTGCCGTTTCCTTTAAATAGTATCTCAACTAAATCCGTAAGATTGTATAAAGCGTATCCATTACATTGTCAGTTACCCCCTCACTAGTTAACGCCTGGAATATATATTTTTCGACAAATGCGATTGTAGCTTTGTGTCACGCACCGCCATAACTCTGAAATTCAAACTACGCTAGTTCTCAAACGAAGCACACTATTGAGCTGTAAAATTGTAAACAGTTAGCGGTTAGCGGTGATCAGTTGTGTTAAAAAAACTTGAATAACCAGTTTATTGCTTAAAGCTAATTTCGGTTTTTGTTCTTTACCTGTCAGATCTACTGAACCAATCATGCAAAATTTCGAAGGGTTAGATTTCCTTTCAGTTTCCTTCAGTCCAGTAGAGAAAATTAGAACAATTTTGATTATGCTGCATTGTTATTTTACCTTTCCAGCAGAGACGGACACAAAGACAAGGAAGACATATACTGGGGATAACACAAGAAACACCTAGGTAAGTATAATATTTGCGATGGTCGTAGACACAAAACCGTTTCCACACAATTGTAGGAGTGCTCGATACAAATACACGCAGAGCGAAATACGAATTGATACGAATTAACAAATGTTTATATGTATGCGCAAATGAAAAACGTCTTAATATCTAGCGTGCAGCAGTGTATGATTATTCTATCTAATGAAGGACAGTGACTTTCGTTTGTCCGTAATCTCCAGCACCATATGCTAATGACAAATAACATTCGAAAGATACTTTCAAATAGCATTAATTTTTGAACATCTAGTTTCGTCAGGTAAGAAAACGTTTTCAATTCCTTTGCTTTTGTGTTGGTTTGGCGAGTCTTGAGATAAAATAATGGACTACAGGTTTGCAAATTGTATTCAGCCCTTCCCGAAAAGCGTTTGCTTTCCGCAAAAAGTGGCTATAATAACGAAGTATTCGCAATATGGTGTCTCATTGAAAATCGAAAGGTTGAAAGAGGCCGGACTCTGTAAAACGAGGATGCGGACGACAGCGGATAGCGGACGGCGGACAATAAAAAAATAAAAATATTAATTAAAAATGACATCACTGCTAATCGATACATCTTCGAATCATTACCGAAACTCGTCGGAAAATGTTTGGAAAGTTTCGAAAATTGCAACAATTTTCGTTTCATTCTTGAGCTTATATACGAGTTTATCACTAAAGATATTAACCTGAAGACAGCGTTCGATAATTTTCAAAAATCTTCCGAAATTGCACAAATAGACTTAATTCTTATATCTTTTTTGCAACCAAATCGCAAGCAAAATCAGTTTGTGAAATAAATCCCTCGGCGTATAACGACAATAACAACATATGTATAGTCCAAAATCATTTTATACCGCGCTGGATTTATTTCAAAAACGCATTTTGCTTGCGTTTTGATTGCAAAAAAGATATAAGAATAAAGTTTATTTACTTTTTAACTTAATTAATTTTCCTGTTTACAAAATAAACTGATACGACGTGATAAGGTGGCAGGGAAATTGTTAGTTCGAGTTTAAATCTGTCCTGGAGACACCAGTCCAGAAACCAGCATCTTTAGTTCCCCTTTAGTCAAAAATCACGAAATAAAAAAGATACCGAGATTATACATGAGTACGCAAATTGCATTTCTGCAATTTCTGAAGATTTTTGAAAACTATCAAATCACTGTCTTCAGGTCAATATCCAGCTTAAGTTATAAATTCATCTATAAGCTCAAGGACATATATATAGGGAAACGACTTTTGGTTGACATAGGGAAACGACTTTTGGTTCGAAAAAGTGAGGGTTTGAGAAATGGGGATTCCACTGTAGTTATTTTGAAACCTCGCATACTCTATATATGACCTCGATCGACACCCTAGTAAAATCAGAAACTTATAAAAGAAGCAGTAAATTGTTCCTCGTACGAGAAGAAAATTTAAAACGGCTCTTTGTGGAGCCATTCAAAACGGGTCTTTTCAGAGCAACCACAACTAAACACAAGGCTAGGTCTTAGTTTGCTTTGATTCTCTCATTGGTTTGTTGATGGAAGCAATATCCATCTCGTGGATATATGGCTATTTCAAGACAGATTTCCCGGAGCATTAGATCATTTGACTTTAACGCCGTCTTGACAAGGCAAACGTCAGAGAAAGTAGCCTACAAGCCTGGCTTTGACTACCTTAAAGAATGTTTTCTCCCAAATACTTTTGCCCGAATCATCAGCGTTTTGCCCGAAAAATGTCAAAAATTTCTGTAACTGGGGGGGCTGCAGCCCTCCTCCCCGTCGCCCCGGCCCGTACGCCTATGCTCAAGGATGAAATAGGAACATGATGATTTTGCAATTTTTGAAACAGTTTCCGGCAGTGATTCGAAGATGTATCGATTAATAGTGAGGTCAATTTTTAATTATTTTATTATTAACCGCGCGGCCATGGGCCGAACGCGGTTCATGTTCTACCTGTGGTTTATTTTTTTAACCGCGCGGCCATGGGCCGAGCGCGGTTCATGGTTTACCCGTGGTTTGTTTTTTTAACCGCGCGGCCATGGGCCGAGCGCGGTTCATGGTTTACCCGTGGTTTTTCTTTCGTTTTGTATGCGACCAGACCCAAACTTTCACTCGGCCAAATTTTGAGTCACGCAACCTGTGATGTTTACTCGCCAAAAGCTGTTGAAACATTAATAAATCTCATCTCCG